TGACACTATATCTAGCCGATCAAAAATTGTGGGCGGCACAGCGCAGTTGAAAGGATTTGCACTTCCAACGACTATATTTCTCTATTTGACGGAAATCGCCTGCTCTTCCATCCGTTATCCACTATCCTACATGACTGACAGAGAGGTAGATAGGCATTCGTCATTTATCATTATGTGATTAAATTTCGAAACAAAAAAAAACGTATAATATATTATTATTATGTTGTAGTATCTTAGTGGTGAAATATCAGGTGAGTTAAAAGCTATGAGCGAATAGTGACTTAAACATAAGATATGCACGTGGTAATTAAAAATTTTACAATGTATAATGAAGTTATGAAGCTCTTCAGTAACAATAAAATTGATGTAGATTTTGTAAAAACGGCGAGTTTTTTTTCGTAATTCTAACATTTAAAACTTTAAAAATGTTAATGGATTTAAAACTATTTTTTTTAATTATATTACTAATTATTTTTTATACTATTAAGACTATCGAAACAGGATATTTGGAATATTAGCCATTTATTATTTATAATGGAATATTTATGTGAAAAAATTAATGACCGTTAATGTTAAAAAACTAAAATCACTTAAAATTCTAAACTATTTCAAATACACTTTAAAACTGACCACTAAACCTACTGATTTACTAATGAAAACTGTTGAAAGTACTTTTAGCGTCCAACTTAAATGTTGTTAAATAATTTTTATTCATACTGTATTTACCATCTCTGGTATAATATATTTCCAAATACATTTTGAATGGCATTTTATAGTCTGAAATAAAATATTATAAAACTTGGTTATTCATACTTCAATAGTTAAATCTATTTTACTTTAGAAAACAATCAAAAATGTATTCTACATATATATACGTACATACTATTAATTATCTTTTTTTTTTACGCTATAATGTTAAATAGCTATAAATATTAAATTTTATAGTTTTTAAATTTAAAAAATAATTTATAGTGTATAATATAAGCATTTTAAATTTTTTACTTATTACTTACAGTAACCTTTTTGGAGCGATGATCTATTATTTTCTACAAGATTCCAAGTACAGATACATTTTATTGATAAGTAAGAATATTATACATAATCTGAAATGGGCACCTTAAAAAGATTCATATAGGTATCATTTATCCCATTTAGTATGATAAATTTTAATTTATTTTGTATTTAAATATTTGTAAGCTTAACTTTATAATGTTAAGCTATATTATGATTTATGACGTATAGTTTTGGCAAGATTTAAGTAAGTTAATGCGGTCTAATTTTAAATCTAAAAAAATTAATTGAATTTAACAGAAGTAGTATTATTAATATGAAGCATTTCGTCAAAATTTATTTTTTTTTTTAAACTCTGAGCGGAGCGATTATGAATGTATTGATTTATAATGATGATTTTTTTTTGTTTTTATACATATTTGACAAAAAAAAAAAAAAAAAAAATGCTTTTATCTTTAAATGTTTTCTGATAGTAAATTGGATCAAATTTTTATCTTTTGTGAAGTAAAAATTAAAAATTAAATATTTTCCAAAATAATCGAGAAAAATATTTAAAAAACGTGAACATTTACGTAAGAATAATTTTTGATAAAATTAATTATGCATTAAAAATAAAAAAACAAAAAATGCCAACGGCACGTAGTGTTCCCAAGCGGTCACCCATCCAAGTACTAACTACGCCCGACGTTGCTTAACTTCAGTGATCGGACGAGAACTGGTGTATTCAACGTGGTATGGTCGTTGGCGACAACCGTGAGTAATTAGACTACACATAATGAAAATATATTATGTGTTAAATTTATTTAATAATATAAATAAAATTTTAAAAAAGGATGCACGATTAAAAATAATTCACGAATAGATTGTAATATTATATCATTTTTAAATAAAAAGTAACCTAGTATTTTTTACTTTGTACATACACAATACAGTTTATTTACACATTTTTGATTTCTTAATATTACAGAAATATTTTTATTATTATTAAAATTTATAAATAGGTAACTATAATATTATTTTTTATCATTTTTACCTTACTATTGTTTGCATACTGTAGAGACACATAGTGTGTGGACGTGGGTATTTGAATTAATTTGACTATTTTTATTTTTATTTTCTTTATTTAAAAAAAAAAAATAAATGATCGTCTCCTAAAATTGAAAATTTCCACCTACATTTCTGAGGATAAACGGTATTTTCGTGTTGAAAACCAATAAATAATAGCGTATCTAATTATCTTTTCAGTAGAAATACGATTGCGAACAGATATTACCGTCGATACCTTTTGACTAATACGACTGAAAACGCTTTGTACTTATAATTTCATGCAACGTTGCCAAATATATTGTAGTTTAAAAGTCTAAAATATGTTGAGTTTAATTTTTACAATATTGTTTGGAAATTTTAAAAACAAGACAATTGCATAGCAAATACTGTTAAAATAAATTTTCACTAAGACTAATAAAATATTTTACGTTTATGAGAAATCAAAATCGTGGGATTAGAATATAACTCATTGTTTTTATCTATATTATTATGTAGGTAATCTTTAATTTTTGTATAACTTTATGTAATCATTTATACGTGAGTTTTGAAATGAATTTTTAAATTTTAATATGAAATATAACGCAATTTTTTTTTATTTATATTTTTCAATTTTCTTTTACGTAATTTTGTAAATTTTTTCATGAGTTAATTACTAAATAAAAATATCAAAATATGAAATACATACATGCAAGTCATGCAACTTAGAAATGGCTACGTTTTAACAGGATTTCGTTTGGAATAATAATGTTTTTTGAGGTTGGCAGTTATTTTATTGTTCCATTTCGAGCGTTCTCAATCGTACACAAAAAAAAGTTAAAACGTTCTTAATCGCATTATAACTATTTTTCATCGTTGAATAGCTGCATGTTCCCCTTCGTGTTTTTTTCCTTTTTCAAACCATATGGGGTGTATAAAAAAAAAAGTTGGTTTATTTCAGTCCAATAAAATGTAGAGCCGGGTTTAAATTATTGTATTTAATGTTTATAAAATATACAACTATTGTGAAATTATTTAAAAATATGTACCTAACTTACTTTAATTTTTACTCAAATATGTGAATATATTTAAATAAACTGGAACCCAAGTATTACGAAACGTTGATAAACCGCTGTTAGTGAGTTGTGTTTCGATGAAAAAAGAAATAAACGAGTTAAGTCCCGATGGAAAAAAATGTTTAGGTACACAAATTCTGTGCTCTTAACAATTACAACGCAATGTGTATATACATTTTACTACTTATAATGTTTAATTACTGTGAGGAGATAGTAAAGTGTACGTAACCAAACTAAAACGATTGTACTAATTTATCTTGATTATTGACTTTTAAGATAATGAATACTAAATGTATACTAATATATAATATTATAACGTAACAATTCCAATTATACTTATAAATTTCCCATAAGAATAGATATTAAAAACAGCCGCTGACGAAAAATTTAAGAAATCAGTTTATTAATATTTCATATTATCGAAGACAATGCATGAATAAAATGTATTTCTATATTCTAACTCAAAATTTAAATGCACAAAAAAATAGAGACATTTATATAATAGAATTTATATAAATAGTTTCATTTACATTTTTTCCTAATACTTAATTATTTATACTTTTAATAAATATAAATTTTAAATATGACTATATTTCTATATGACGTTTTATTTCAATATTTTATTTTTATGTTGATTTTTGTATATCATATATGTATATGTAATATGTATATCAGTAACATATATTATTATTTGAAAATATATACTTTTATTATTATTAATATTGCTAACGAAAACATAATTTATAATTTTTAGTTTTGTTTTATTTTAAATTATTATGTATACTTATATAATATTTGTTATAATTCAAAAATTAATACTAATGATACACTTGATTTAATATTTAACTAACAAAATTCAAAAACATTAAGAGTCAATTTTCATTAAATATTCCATTTTTCTTTATTTTCATTTTTTTTATTATTTCTGTTTTGTATTAAATATTTGTAAGACTCGCAACTATAGTAGCAACACTATCAATATAACGAGTGAAGGCTATTCGCGATTAATTCCGGTGGAGAATTTTGATCCAAAACACATCGATAAAAGTAAACACTAATTATATATAAATTACATTTTAATTGTACCAACCATTAGTCAGGATTAATAATCAACATTCCATTAGTATTTTTACTATACCAAGACATTGATAGTTTTAAAATGTTTTAAATGTAATTTAATTAGGAAATTATTTCGTAGAATTTCGAGTGGACAAAACTATAATAAAATTAGCAAATGATATTCAAGTTGATTTATTTAATTGGCAGATATGAATAGGCCGAGCGTCTGATAAAATTTTAATACTTTGAATAGACGCTTTCAAATTTTTGCAATGAAAAAGATAAAATCACAATTATTCTTCTATAGAGATCAACTTAGGTCTTTTTCGAAATTTTAATTTCAGTCAATAATATAATCGATAAAAATGTGTTTATTTTTAAACCTATCGTGGTTATGTTTAAAATTTTATTTTATTTTTCTTAAGATGTTAAACTTCGACGAGAATTAAAAGTGGTCCAGTCAAAGCTTCAAAATGTTGTCACTGCAAAAGTATTTTTCAAGACGATAAATACATGAATATATAAATAAAACCAAAAAATACAAAAATAATATGTTATCGCATTCGTACCTATCATATTGTTGCGTTAACGTTCATTTGGTTTTTACGCCTAGAAACGTCATGACTATACAATAAGTTGCCTATACATTGCTCCTCGAAAATATGACTGACGGACACGACCTCGACAATACCGTACATGATGCAATATTACTGTACAATAGTATGATCAACGATAATGGGTAATATTTTGGGGACAGTGGAGTGGTAGTCCGTTAGAATTGGTCAGCGTGCATGACGCAAGGACACGAGAGGAAAGAAATACATACAAAAATGCGTATCATCCGAACGTTTATTCATACGAAAACAGTAGTCATATTGTTTTACAGAAAAAACGAACGATACGTCGCGACAACTGTAGTCGTGCCTAAATTCTAGTGAACCGAAAAATACATCAGCCGTAAAAAAATAAGAAATAATAATAATAATAATAATAATAATAATTATAATTATATTAATAATAAACTTAGACGTATAATATATGCACGTACGACAGTATAAATATAGTACTATAGACATATGAGGGGGGGGGGGGACGATGACGATGAACAGCGGTTATCGGTTGAAGGGCGGGACGGGACAGAGCGAGACGGGGCGAGATGCGCGTCGCGTGTCGCGTGTTCGAGTGCGACCGAGTCCCGTGAGACCATTTTTTACGCGTGTCGTCGGAGACTTTAACGACACTCGAGACGCGCACAACAGCCGTATAATATCGTCGCGCGTTGCGGATTTGATTTCTGCGCGCCGCCGCCGTCGGCGGTCGTTCGCAGGGAACGCGAATCGCGCGACGTGACAAGAAAACTGGAATGGCATTTGTGTGCGATCACACGCGACGGGAACCTTTGCGACTTGCAGCCGACGGTCGACGCGAACCCTGCGCCAGACGTCTCACTAATCGAACGACGTTTGACCGAGGTGCAGAGACGAGACGCGCTCGCGGCGTCGATCCGCGTTGCGCGATCTTAACTTCGGCTTGGACCGGCGCCCGGCGCCCTCCGTCGCGGACGCTCCCGAATCGAATTTACGATAGACCAGCGCCCCCCGTCCAACGAATCAAAATATTTATAATTTAATATGTTTATATATAACGCCATAGGTCGCGGCGCATCGACGTCCTGCCGCCGCTCGTCCTGCCGTTTGTTTGCTATTCTGTTTGCGTATCGGTGAGCTTGTGTGTGTGTGTGTGTGTGTGTGTGTGTGTGTGTTGGGTTGATCGCGAGTGATGGGGTGAGGGTAAGGGTAAGGGGGAAGGAGGTGACGATTAGAGTTGGAGTCCCGGGTTGGTGGCGGCCACGTAGTTGAGCAGCTCGTCGCTGTCCTCGCACACGAAAGGCTTCTCGTGATAGCAACCGATGTCGTGCCACGCGATGCCGTCGCCGTACACGTTGTTCAGCACGCTCAGGCACGACTCCACCGTGCCGTTGATGTCGAACTCGGCGTTGTCCGGTTGCGGAGTCTTCTTGTGGCCGCTCTTGCTCCACGGGCTGTACGTCCAGCCGGTCGGCGTCTGGTTGGTGGCCGGTATCTTGCCCCGGGTGGCCGACCAGAACCATCCGTTCACGTTCTTCGGCTCCAGGTCCGACCGGTTCTCGCAGCCCTTGAAGTCGCACAGCCGCCCGCTGGTCCAGATGTACGGCGCGTCGTCTGCGAATAACATCGATCGCGATTAATAATGAGTACGTAAAATCGGAATGATTATTATACAGTAGGTATACCCCAAAACATCGGTGGCGTGCATAACGCGCGTTACCCTATACCGCGTTCGACCGCAATCGACGCGGTGTACCTCAAACGCGGTTTTAATGAAGCTATCGGTTAATTGAACCGGTCTGAACCGATAAATCGATCGATTTTTTTTTTACGCTTCCGCCCGCGCGTTGGTTATCGCGTCGTTGACGTTATCGTTCATTACTGCTGTACCTAATATTGTGCTAACACCGACCTCGCATCGTCGTCATTATGATTATTATTATTATTATTGTTGTTGTTGTTGTTATGACTACTGCGGAGACGGGGTCGAAGGCGTTGGTATAAACCAATCTGCGAGCGAGCAAAAATCAACCGTTAATGGCACTTGCAACCATCGGGTCGTCAGATATTTTGGCTCCTGAGGTCCGAAAATATAACGCCCAAGTCCAAATATTTCGCCGAGTCGGTCCCGATTGTTGTTACTGTAATACTGTCACGAATTTCAAGTAGGATTGCGAGTGCAGTAATACGAAGCTCCGCGATTGATTGGTGTGATTATCTTTCACGAGTTTGACTCGTGCCTATACATATTAATACGTTTTAACGGCGGGTCATGGATTTACTAATATAGAAGCACTTGTGAAGATCGAAATCTTTTTTATAGTCGCTATTATGAAATCAAAAACTTTGAGAAAGCTTTACTGTCTAAACAGTGCACTGGGGTTAAGGTCTATGACACATGGTAAGTATATATTTTGATTTCGCATGAAGTAAATTACCGACGGACTGACTTATGATTTCTTTCCGTTAGATTAATTGCGCATAACGTTGTGTGTACATTTAAAATAGATTTTAATGTTTAATTTGTTGACCTTAAAACAGAATTTCTATAATTTTCTATTGATTATGTTTTTAGTAACCGTTTAGGCCATGGCTAAATATTTAGGGATAATCATATAAGACACGTTATTATAGATAACAGTATTAAATGTGAATATGTTAAACATTAAACTAATGTTTTTGAGAAAAGATTTTGTAAAATTCAAATATTTCATCAGAATACTAGCTATTTTATTCGATTGAATAAAAGCGAAAAAAGTTTTATTTTGTATCGTCGATTTTTATTTTTATTAGTTAAGTATAATAATATTAAGGTCGTATAAAATTAACGAGCATATCATACTTCTAGAAAAGAACGATTAGGTTAGGTTTTTTTTTAAATTTTTATCAATAATATAATGTAATAAATAAATTGGCGAAATACACAATTTATTATAAACAAAATAAAGATAATGGAGGTTACCGAGTGATAGGACCATATAATTTATTAATATGACTTGAAAACAAAATCTTTAAACTTTTAATATAAGGTATTGTTTTTAATTAAATTTACATGGTACATTTAAAATAATAATACAATATACATTAAAACAATACAAAGTAGTTCAAACATATTATTATGTTTACTTTTTTATACGATATATAACTCTATCCACCAAGTTCGTAATGAGACTTTTATAATATGAAATACACGTATTTTTTATAATTTTCTGAATTAAATGAATAAAATTTTAGTAATTTATGTTTGGATTAAATATGTGATTAGATTCTGTCAAAACGATTATTGTATATTTTAAATACATAAGATATGATTTATTTGTACGTTATATTTTAATTATTTATTTATTCATCATTATTCTTTGGTGTAAATTTTTTTATTTTTTTTAATGAAAACCATTAGATAAAAAGTGAAAAAATAACAAGAATATGCGTATCGATTTGTGAAAAACATATATTTCAATCGATAAGGACTCAAACCCTATGAACAGTGCAGCTCGATATTACAATATATTATTATAACATAAAAAACTACACTTTATTTTATATCTATATTATGAATAGTATTAAAAAATTACAATACGTATAATTATCTATTTTGTATAATTTTTCTTAGAGGATTTTTCATGAACTAAATGTTTGCCGTTAATCTTTGAAATATTTCGAAAATTAACAAAAAATGTATTTAAAGTTATAAGGTATGAAAAATTAAATCGTTTTAGTATCAACTATTTAATTATTATTTAATTTAACTATTTCTATTTAATCAAGTTTTTTGATGCATCTACCTATTATATAAAAGGATAAGGAGAAACTGATTAAATTTAGATAGTTAAAATGTTTCTAAAACTGTTGTACTGTATAATACGAAATGTAATTAGGACTGTTGGTTGAACACAAATAAAATTTCACATTAGATAGTTCATAACGGAAACACGTGCCATGAAATATGATATTATTATAAGTGAGTGAAACTATTTAGACAATAATAACCAATATGTTAGGTATATTATATATATTTGATAATAGCACAAGATCTTTATAATAGTAAAATTAAATAATAATTGTGTTTTCTTTCCAACAGGACGGAAGACTAATAGTTCTACGAACAAAGAATCGAATTATATACAAAAACTAAATTATATTTAATTTATTTACGCATTAACCGTTGAATAAAATCGGCACCTCGCTCTGCTTTTTTCCGACAGTCTCAATTTATTAATATACCTATTACATATATATGTATATAATAGGCGTATCTAACTATAAAATCATTATTAGTCATTTCGAATAGAAACGTATTATTACTCTTTTATTAAACCTTTATTCAATTTATTTACTTTCAGTTACCTATAGTGAAGCTATGAAGGTCATTGGAAAACTTCAAAACATAGATATTATAACGATATTTAATGCATGTTACACATCTACTAAACACATCACTGAAAACACTATTCTTCTTCTATCAAAAATAGCTAGTGAATTAAATTACACTAATCAGTGGCAACGCGTTAAATTGTTCTCACGAAATTACAACAATTTGGCAATAAGATGAACAAGCGCAATAAAGTATCCCTAACCTATATTTAAATAATATTAATAATTATTTTTAAATGATTTTGAGCTAGGTCGGGTTGGATTTGTTTGAAACAAAATTCTGATCTAGTTAGAATATCAATGGCTGATCACTGAGCAGCCTTGAAAAATAAAACAATGGTCATAAAATAGGTTAGGTTTTTGCAATAGACATAGATAAAGACATGATATCAAACAACAACTTCAAATATACAGTTGGATTGTTGAATTCGACCAGTGAGAATATGTTATGAAAGTAACGCCCTTGTCTTAAATGTTTAAATTCATTAATCAACTCTCGTAAAACAACGCTTCACAGTCATTATATTTAATATTATTATGTATTTTTTTTTCGAAACTTTGATAGAGTTTACTTACCAAAGTACCAAATACCAAGTGTATTATATAAAAAAAGTAATTACTCAACATGACTTTAAAATATGAAAATTAATAATCCGAATTTGCGAGTTGATAAAAAATATACCTACGCGCTAAATAAGTAAATCCCAATGATATAATATTATATAATCGTCCCGTGTTCTTTCATCAAATTTATCTATAATCCATGCTAAGTATAAAATTATAATTATGAATTATAAAGTTGTAGCATCTCGTCACAAACCACATCGATGATAATATTAATGAACAATCATCGCTTTTCTTATTGCAGGTAATACTATTCGAAACACTTACTTTGTTGGATAAGTCGGAAGATGAGATTGTTTTCTTCTTGAGTTTCAATCGACACGAGGTCCATGCAGTATTCTCGGCAGATATTTCTTGCTTCTAACCAATCTACTTTCGATGTCTTGTACTGTTGTGTGTGTCCACTGTAGAAGTAATTACGTCCTTTGTACGTGAATTCTTTCGGTCCTAGAAATAAAAAATAGCAATGTAAAAAATATGATTATCTTTTTATTTTATAAATAAAGAATTGTTGTTGATAAACTTTTTTTTATTTTTTAGTTCAGACACTTGGTGCAGATTTGGTAATATTTAAATATATTCAGTCAAATCTAAATCGATTTAAATAAGATTATTTAAATTTTATAAAAAAAAAAAAAAAATATATTTATAATTATAATAAATTTGTAATAAAATAAATATTAAACTAAAGTACCCGTTCATAAACAATCACATTCATACTAAATAATAGTTGCAGTGACGTATTACATGAATTGTATTATATTGATTTATAATGTATAAATGCATAAATGATAATAAAATATAAAACAAAATTGAAATCGTTTAGATTTTAATAAACAAAATTGCTGATATTTCTTTAGATATATTTAATAACACTTTGAAAAACGATGGCGATTCGTTTATTTAAACCTGCCTTAACATGGTAACATGTAAATACAATAAAAGAATAAAAAAAAAAAAATAATGAAATTCAACAAAAAAAAAAAAAAAAAAAAACAATTATTCTAAATGCGTACGTATGATTGAATTTATACTGCACGGGATGTATGTCATCTCATAATTTTATTGTTATCAAATAATCGAAATATAGTAGGTACCATCGCCTAGGTTCTATTTCCGGACCAATATTTTTCGATCATCGTATAGTTTTTCAGTTCAAAAATCTTCAAATCTACGCAGTTTTATTATATTTTTTTCCAATGTGTGTATATTGATGGGAAACGGACGCACGGACACGTCGCTTGCACATTATTTTGTCGTTTTTCATCGCGAAAAAATCCTCGCTGCTCTCTACGCAGCTAAAATCGCCAATATACACCGCTGGTCGCCGTTGGTAACGCAAAAAATATTTCCGCGTAACCATTATTTTTTTTTTTTTTTTTACCCGTCGGCGCCGTTCGCGAGAAATGGGCAACATTCAGGTAACGCCGACAGAACCGTCGTTGTCGGACAACGACAGCAACGCAGACAACGATTCGAACGCGTCCACCTCGTCGTCCACCGCCAAAACCGTAACGCCGTCTGCGCGCGCGACGACGACGACGACGACGACGACGACAGCGGCGGCAGCGGCGACGACGACCGACCGGACGGCGGAAACCGACGACGAATCGTTCAAACCGGGCGGCGAATCGACGGCGGCGGACGAAAGCGGCGGCGGTGGCGGCGGTGGCCGCGAAAGGCCGTCGCCAGGCGGAACAGAACACGGCCACGAACGGAGAGGGCCGCGGCGACACCCGAGCAGCCGCCGTGGACGGTCGTGTTCGACGACACCGCGGAAACGGCGGCGGTCGCCGGAAGTCGGGCGCGGCTGGGCCGACCACAGCGGTCCGAAACCGGTCGCGGTCGCACCGTATCGGCCGCGCCGGAACAACCCGGCGGACCGCAGCGGCTGTCGCCGTCCGCCGGCAGCCCGGACGAGCCTGTCGTCGTGGATCGTGGCCGCGTCGCGGCCCTGACGAGCTGGTGGTCGCGGTCTGCGGACGAGCAGCCGCGCCGAGGAACGTCTGTGGAACGGCATGTGGCGGCCAACTGCCGCAGCCCACCCTCGCAGGACCATCACGAGGACGACGGCCGGCCAGAGGGGACAGGAGGATTCAATGACGGGCGCCGTTACGAACGATTTTTCGGTACCGCTCAGAAAAGCCATGGTTGTACCGGTTGTGAAAAAAATGGCTCGCAAAGGGTCTGTATGTAATACAACGCGTAAACGCGGCATAAAACAAGTCTGAACAACACCGACTTACTTTTTTTTAAGTAAAATATATGAATATTTTTTATAGACGTGCGACTATAAATATTAAACACATATAAATAAATTATGATTATTTTTAATTCACTTTCATTATTGACTCTGCGATTAATTGTCTTTTGAGAAACGAAATAAACTATTATACGTTTTTCGAACGCCATCGATGTACGATAGATGTTTTAGATTAGTGTAACATAATAGTCGTTCGGTTTTTAAATACCTAACGCGTGTATGATTTTCCACACCAAACAATTTGCGACTGGATCGGACGTCATTATCGCTAACTTATATTGTGATATTATTACTGTGTATTGTGCAATGTTACTATTCGGCTGACTTACTTTGACTACATTTCTGAGGGACAGGCAAGCTGAGGAAACGACCAGGCTTCTGTGTAACGGGGTTGTTGGTTTTCACTTCATTGATTGCCGCCAAGCAGCTTGTCACTGTCAGCGCTAAGGCGAAAACTCCAAAAGATACAGTTCCAGTCATCTGTGATAAAAGAAAAAAAAACGTTTAGAACCGGAAATAACGTAACAAGTGTACATATGAGAGTACAATTGAAACTACCTCAGTACCTCACCCCCAAAAATTCCATAAAACTATTATTATTATTTTTTTTTTTTTTAGATTAACTAGGCGCACAAAAAATTAATTTAACAGCATAATTATTATTAAACATCTTACTATAGAATGTTAAATTTTAGAACTACTTGTGTTCATGTATTGTGTTCTTCCTATTATCCGTATATTATATATGGTATAAATGTGTAAATGGAAATCTTTGTCAAACATGTACTTATCCGATTATCTGATTATTTTGATTTTTTTTTTCTTTTTTTTAATTAAAAAGTACATTGTGGAGCAGATTTTAAGCCAGCTATTTCTGATTTTATAAGTTAATGAAAAATTGAGTTATTAATTTTTTTAAGTTATAGGCAAATACGCACGTAAAGATATTTGTTTTTTTTTCATCTGTGTTACCAATATTATTAGTTATTAATAGAAATTAATATTTTAATGAATAGTTGGTTTAGTATAACATTATACATTTTTTTCGTCGTTTTTGGTTAATACTACTGAAACTTTATAAGTTGTTAGTTTTTGGTCCATAATTTTATTATAGTCAATAACAAAAAAAAATGCTGCTATTAAATGGCCAAAAAAAGCAACGTTTGGCGAAACAGCTATGCAAATTTAATATGTTGGAATATTATATATACACCAAATCAGAAAACCAAAAATATTATTTATCCACACAATATGTAACACGAAATGTTAGCATCAAGCAACCACACTTAACAACAATGCAATTTATACGAGCAATGGAGTGCACGTTTAATTCGTGTTTAACATAATCAACAGTGATTTATTAAATTTATTTACCACGAATAACGAATAACTATAACGAATCATTTAACAAAATATAGAAAGATAAAATATGTTCAAAGAAAAAATTATTCGGTGAGATGAATTACGATACAATGTCATCTTACACAATTTCATCATGAAACGTTAATTTCATATCATGTGTAAATAGTAAATACATAATGTTATTTTTTAATATGAGAGTCAAATAATTATACAGTCGAACATTGCAATCACCGTAGTCTGAAATCATGCGTAATGATGTAGAAAAATTATAACAAATAATGAGTATGTTTCAGATAAAAATTTAAAACTTATTTGTTTAATTTTTTCTTTTTTTCTGAAAGCAATTCGAAAATGAAATAGTTACCTACACACTCCTCTGTTCAATAAAATAATCTTCGTCATGGTTATACCTCCCATACGATAATCGTATTACCGGACCCGAGCAAAGGACGTACAAATGTGTACAATTATTTTTGCAACGTGGCTACGGCGTTCGTTTAATTCTCGACTTTAAGACGGCCAAATTGTAGTACGTTTGCACAACAATCGTCATATATTATTTTATTATTATACGATATCGCACAGCCGCCGCACGGACCGCCGTGCGCAGTTATACGATGACGCGCGCGCGGTGTATGCGGTTCGAACCACCGACCGGCGTAATAACACATAATATTATTATAATGGAGACGTGGAGGGTACGGCGCGACAAAACGACTTTATTTAGTTGCTACCGACCCGAACAAATGGATTTTACTGCAAGTGCACAATGGATTTCGAAACGATTCGGTCCGCTGTAATCGTCGAGGTTTTATTGTGAGATTTTGTATTATTGTCGACACACGCTACTTGACGATCATGATATTATTATATTATTTTTATCGCATTATACACACTATCGGTGCTTTCGTGTGAGCCAGACGAGCGCGCGTCGCACACGCAGGTCGGATGGGTCAAGTCGGATACCTGTAGGCCACCCACCACACAGCTGGAGGTATGCCCACATACCTGTGTAATAATGGTAGTTGTACAACGGTGCACGAGCAACGGTACGACGATCGGAGAGACGCGTCGCCTGCCGGATTTGCCGCCGAGTCGAAAGGCCGTTTTCGCAGCAGCCCGCCGACTCGGGCACCGTTGTGCCTGTATCATTATCATAACGATACCGCGTACCCATCTACCCATCTACCCACCGACCTCTAACCATAACCTGTAACGGCTCCGGCGCGCGGTGTACACGGCGGACGAGACGAAAGCGTATCTCATTAGTAGCCGCGAACACAAGTGCCCGAGGTGTTGCGCAACGCTAGCCGCACATTATTATAATATTATTATCATTATTATTATTATTATTATTATTATTATTATAATGTTATGCATACGGGTAAGGAATAATATTGTGATATCTTCTCGGTTCCCGGTTTGTGTAAACGTGTCTCAGCTTGTATAGACGTTTGTATAGACGCGTGTTACCATTGTTGCCGGCGAAATAAGGATGCCCCCCCCCCGGCCCCCGCCCAATGAGTATATTTATTATAAGTTATTAGTCGCGTCGCCCGAGACGACGAGAAATCTGTACGATCGGATTGGTCGTGGCCGATAAAACCCGCTTGGTTTTTTTTTTTTTTACTAGAACCACCGTTACACAACGCGTGATAATATGAGGCAGTGGGCACGTAGATATCGTACACGAAGCGAGTTCTTTTACCGCGAAACAGACATTTTCTCAACAAATTTATGTTTTTGGAAAAAATCATGTTTTTCGTCGGTATTGTAATTTTTTTAATTTTTTTTTTTTTATTTCAATGCATAACAACCTAATACCGAATCAGGGAATTAATTAGTTGTGACTTATTAGCGTTTAAAGTGCCGATGTGCACAAACGACGTTTTGCAAGTTATACCTCGTGCGTGCCCTTTTATCACCCCACTAGTCCAATCTATATATTCGTCTAAAATATAAATTACCTAACTATAACTTCCGTAAAAAGATTAGGAGCCATGATAATTATTTCTAATGCTATATTATTGTTATATTTTGTTATTATGCCATTACAAACATCACCAAACCTGCGATGAATTTTTATCAAAAACGATCAATCCGTATGTTAGAATTTTGCATTATATTCTTAAAACCGTCAGACGAGGTTCTCAGTATATTTTAAAATGGATTCTTTGATGTATTACATACTTAACACGTACACACTTTTAGTTTGAAATCAATAATCTAAATAAAAAAACTTCCTATACACTCGTATAGCATCCTGCAGAGAGATATCAATTTTGAGATAATGAGATATTTAATGTATTTATCCAACCATTTATGTATTCATAGCTGGTATTTTATTCAAATATATTTTCCTTTTAGTAGGCATACATTTATAATACAATATGAAAGGCGTGATATTTAATTTCTCTACGCATTATACAGTATGTCGGCTGTCGGACTAATACGGTTGTTGTGGGTAATTTGATTAATATTATATTTGTGGTAAGTTGTAACTATCAACTGCGAAATGACAATTATTATTAAAAGTTTCTATAAACGGAAAGTCTTTCGTCATTATACATATTGTATTAAATAACACGCGTAGTATTATTATAATTTGTAATATACTTGTTATATTGTCAGTTTTATGTACCTAGGTACATATTCTTGTTTTGTTACGAATATAATTAATGATAATATTCTTTTATTCCTATTATCTATGTGACTTATGTAATAATAACTGAACATAGTGGATAATTCATAAATCCTTTTCATATAAAATTATGCACCAACTTTATTTTGTATTTAGAATTTCTATAATCGAATAAATAGCTCAAAAAATATTTAGAATATTAAAAAAAAGTGTTCTAGTATAATTGTGTATACTATAATATGTCCGATGACATGATTTTTAAATTTTAGATATTTTTAATGTAGAATTTCATATAATGTCGAAGTTATTAAATTGTAAATGTAGGTAATTAGGTATAATATTAAAAGCAACATTTTAAGTTATGGATTTTCTTTCATGGATACAAAATGTATTGTACCACAAACAAGAATTATTGTTTGTGTTAAAATTATAAAAGTACAAAAAATTAAATAAATACATTTTGAAAACTTATTTGAATAATTTATATTGAATGATGTAATATTATTCACAATATATTCGAATTCAAAAAAAGTATAAAATACACGTAATACTACAAATATCGAGGATTTATATAACATCAAAATCAACTATTCAAATACTCTTTCAACTTGTAGTTCATGTGGGTCACTTTAAACCTACTTGGCTACTTAACGTTTTATGTATTTTACCCAAGTTTTAATAATCATTATAATATTAGTAAAAATATATGATATTATAAAGACGCGCGTAATTTAAAATGAATACTCCTAATGGGGAGAAATTTGATTTTAAATTAAAAATGATAAAACAATGTAGAACACTTAATTTAAATATATTTACATAATCATTTTCTACTAAATAATACACTTAATATTTTTTACCAGTAAGTACCTAATTAAATTTAAGCGTATCAAATCGAAACTGTGAATTGTTATTAATTATGTATCAAATTAATAATATTTACATTTTTAGTATAGACACGTAAATATTATGTTTACTCATCTAACAATATAATTTTATATTAATATACATCATTATACATTTTAATGAATTATTCAATATTATATTTTAATTTACATCTTATATAGGTCCAATTTTTAATTACAAATTTAATATTGTACTCATTCATAAAAACTAGTTAATTTTAATTATACATAAGTATATGTGTTGTATAATTGTATACTTTTTATTTCAAATCGTTATTAAATTAATTGAATTTTAAATATTGTATCATATAATAAAAATTAATTTGAAAATTAACTTTTGAATCTTGAAACAACGATATTATTTTGTATTTTATAATTAACATTTTTAAGAATACGATTTAGTTTCTACTTACTGCTATTTATTAACAAAGATAGCAACAATAATTTTCATCCAGCTAAGATTAAAATATCATTAAGAAAAATTTTTTTATCATTATAAATAATTATATTATAAGTTATTGATAGACGTACACATTATGGGTACTAAAAAAAATTTAATTTAAAAAAAAAATCGTAGCAGATACTACATTTTATTTTTATTTTTTTCTTGTAAACTAAAAATTACTGGAAACTATTATAATTTTTAGTTTCAGTAAAATAAAACATTACGATCACTAATTAAAAATGTATACATTTTATTAGTCAAAGTAATTAATTTTTACGAATATTTAATGCATAAAATGAAATTATAAATAAAACGATCGATATCTAATATTTTGAAGTTAGACGTGCTTACCTATTTTAAACGGTTCGAGTATTTATTTAAGTTTAAAAATAAATTATTACAAAATAATAGAAAATCAATATTATTTTCCATGATATGAATATATTTACCTTTATAATCGGATGATTTGGAAGACGAAACGACTTGCACAGGCAAGAACACTATAGCGACGAAACAGAATCAGCTGGGAATGTCCAAGCGATAGTCAACGTCTTCGCGGAGTTGCAAGTGCTATTTATAGAAGTGGTTGCGGCGGTGACCATTTACTTGCGAGTCCTTCGGCAGTGGGAGTCGGGTAAGTTCACGCATTGTCTGACCTTAAAGCAGATCAAAGTGGTGTATTCTTCGCAACGACCTTGATAACAACACAACACCGTGTCCGAAACTCAATCCTAATCACTTTCACTGTGTACATGATCTATTCGAAAGAAAAATTAAATCACGTGGACCATCGTTGTCCGAATCGTTTTCGCTGCGTGTCCTGCAACTGCATTATTGTAATTCGTAACATTCTGTATGATCTATTATTATTGTCCATACAGGTAACAACAGATATTAAATTGATACATTAATACCATTGAAATTTGAATAATAAATAAACTTTCAAACTAAAATTATATATGATATATATTATACAATGTTCATTATTCGGCGTAAACAAATATTTATGAATACTTTTTAATCTTGAGAGCGTTCATGGGATCAGGAACAGGTTTTATATACAAAAATACGACGCATCAACAAAACATTTCAATGTGAAAAATGACGAGTTTTTTTTTAACTTTACGAAGAAATTTTTGTTTTAAATTTATTTTTGTGATGACGTAAAAAGTCCGGTTTCCAACTATAACATGGTTTTTATTTTATATTTTGATCAAAGATCAGACATCTTAAGCCAGCTATATTTAAATTTTAAATATATAATCATTAATCACTTAGTGCTTTATCTTATGTCCTAGGCTTCTAGAATTGTCAAACCGTTAAAAATATTTTGTGTTGTATACTTACATCATATTAGTAATAGCAATAACAAAATTTCATTCCATAGTGATTAATAATACCTAATTATAATACTATTCAATAATAATTTTATTCGAATGTTGGTTTTTTTAGTTGAATGCTTTATTGCTTTGGCTATTACCAGGGAAATGTTGAAAGTATTAGCTTTCAATTTCTTTATAACATCATCGAATTAATTTTATATCATTGTTTTCTATTGTAGACGGTAAAATATAATAAAATTATACATATAGTTTCTCTTTTTTGTCGTTCACTCATCAGTGGATCGGCCTATAAACATTTAATACTATTCAATAAAAAGACACCGATACCATGCACGTGGACTACCAAAAATGTATACACGGAAGAGAAATCACATATTCGATCGTTTATTTTGGCAGATAACTACGTAATAAATACAAAGTTATATTATATAGCCATATATAAATACATTTTATTATACTTAGTTTCCAGAAAAGTAACAAACAGTCCTCTAAAATCAAAATTAAATTCTAATGTTTTAAGTAAAAATGCATAAAATATGTATTTATAATATAATAACAATAACAATAATTAATGAAGAACAGCAATTTTTATGAAATAAAATGAAATAATAATATCTTTCTTGCTTAAATTTCTATACAAAATCTAATAAAATAATAATTATATAACTTTTCCTGGTGATTATTTTGCTGTTAATTGGTTTCAATAGTTCTAATTTTATTTTGCTTGCAACTATGAAGTAATATATTTCGATTGTTCCGAATTAATATTGAATTCATAAATATATATTTTAATACTTCAATAACAATAATTAACTTATCTCGACATCTCGCTATATCATACATGTATATGAGATTATTACATTCCTACCAAATATAATATTACATGTATAAGTAGGTGAGTAAGTCCTATATCTTATACCTATATATGCAAGAATAAACTACATTTTTCATATAATTAAAAATTAAAATTAAATCGTTCATATAAACATTAACTGTATTGTAATTGCTTTAACTCATTTTGAATCATATTCATTTCTGCATAACATGTTGCTATATTAAATATATTGTATTTACTATCACAATTTATTTTACGGTATAATCAGATAATCTATACCGAAGTGTGTAATTTATATATTAAATTAAATATTGATGAATATATTATCATTATTAATAAATATGTTTGTTGGTAGTCCATGTGCAGAGTTCAATGGAAAGAAAAAAAGCTCAACAATTAAACTATAAATTTCAAGTTAATTAGAAACAAATTACATCACAGTATTTATGAAATTAAAAAAATATAAAGAATATTAAATATATATAAAATTATATAAAAAAGAGACCTATACGTTTTTATCTTTATTGAACGGGGTAAAAAAAAAGAAAAATGTTTACACAACATACTGCAGTAACCAGTATACATAAAAATTGATTGCATTGATTATTCTTTTGATGTTAAAATTCATTATATAATACATAAACAGTATTACATACAATGATACATACCATATTGTGTATATAATACGTATATATATGACAATGCACTTAGGGTTCAATAGAACGGGTAGAGAAACATATTTTTAGGTGGGTACTTAACGTTTAATAAAATAACATGTTCCGTTGAGGACTACATTGTGACTACCGCTAAAGATATTTTAGTAAAAAAATATACATGTTATCTTCCTCGAGGTCATTTACTTCAATAGTCTTGACTTATGGGCCGTATTGCTTAACGAAAACACTAACCGTAAGTCCCGGTTCATCTGCTCGATGGATCGACAATCTCCATTCCACTATATATGATGGCTGAAGGTTATGATGAAAAAAATAGAAGTCATGAACGTTGGGAAGTCAAGCTATTAATTTTTATGTAAAAAAAAATTGTATTCTTCTTTGCCAAACTCCCAATTATACTGCATTTACTTGACTATAAATCGAAGCTCAAAAGTCTTATGCGTTCTAGAAAATAAAATTTGTATGCTAAAACTCAACAATTAAGTCGTAATGTATGACATGATTTTTGTACAGATTGCCATGATAATAATTCATACATTTTTTTCTCATAACTTTTGGTCATACTATAGATATATTATGTAAGTTGAATTTTTCAGTTTCACCCGTAAACATTTTTGAGCTAAAATTAAATTATTTGAATAATATATACTATAATGTTTATAGTTTTACAACTTTGTAAAAAAAATCCGAAAAATTATTCAAATACTTTGCCGAAAAACCGTAAGATTTAAATACAATATTTTCCTTCCCCCTCGCCTTAAAGAAAAAAAAGAAAAAATTGACTTCATGAGGATACTTAGGGAAGTATTTAAAGTAAATCTGTGAAAAAAAAATCGTAAAAAAGTTTAATAGCGTCGTCAAAAACTTGGTACATAAAAAAAGCCTGTTATTTTATATATTATTTATAGGTATATAAAGATAATGATTCTAAATTCTTTCTGACTCTATTGTATGTTTCACCTTTTCTGTTTTTTTAAAACAATATTATATTAACTCTTAAAATGGATATCAGTTATTAAATAAAATATTTTATTGAATATATTGATAATTTGAAAAATAATTAATTATTTATATCTAATTGGTCTATGCTTAGATTGATTAAAAATATTAAACAATGTTGGTATTTATCTTATAATATCATCATTTTTAATTTTAATCTTAAAATTAATATAATTAACAAATATTTAGCAAAAGATTATATACTTACCTTGATCTACCTATATATTTTTCAAAAATTTAAAACAAATATTTTAATTAAACGTTATTACGCCCTCTATACGATGTATTTTATTCAATAGTTTTGTTTGTTATAATTTTAAAACTGAAAATTAAATTATAAAATAGGCATACTAAAGATAAATCAAATTATTATTATCATCAAAAATATAATATGTTTATGAAACACTATAAAAAAGTTTCACACTTTGTGCTTAATTTTGAGAAAAGACGCTCAGCTTAAAATTTAATTACGAAATGATATTCAATATTCATACTATAGGAATTATTATGATACCATAATTAAAGTAATATATATTACACAAGTTATATGATTTTTACATAATAAGACATTTTATTCTTTATTTAAATTTATTAAGTGTTATTTATAGATTATTGTTATATCTTCAATTGTTTATTTTTAATTTAATCTATAAATAAAATAAAGAAATAATAGAATCATAAAATGCACTATCTCATTTATATTTTTTCGTAGAAAAATATACCCATAAATTCGGGCTACAATCTATCTACCTATCTAAAAATAATCAAATATTTTAAGTCAATAATAATTAATTAAGTATAGTAAATTCAAAATTGTCTCGGACTGTTCACTCAAATTTGTGTAATGCAACTATTATGTATCAGATACCTAGGTACGTTAATTTGTAATTTGAAATATTTTTGATATTTATACTTGGTTTTGGTATTGAAACTCGAAAGCGTACGAGTAGGTACTTACTGAAAAAAAATGTAATAAATAATAATAATTGCAGATTTAACATTTATACTGAATGTCTATGTTATTAAGTGAATGCATACCTACATAAATTATCTATCATGTATTTCTATATACCTATATATAACCTAAAAACTAAAATATGATCGAATAAACATCAAAATAAAATTATAATGTCTGTATCGACGCATTATTTGCAAATCGTAAACATGTTTACCGAGTTTGAAGAAATATTCAAGTTTTATGCACCTTGGCATAGTTAACTGGGTACCTATGATGTATAATACTTGCGACGTATGGGATACCAAACATACACGCGAACTTGACACTATAGTGTATAGGGTATATATTAAACATCGTGAAATTGTCGTGAACTTCTTGTCATTATTTCCGGAGGTATTGCATTAAAAACGTGAACGCACATTTAAAATTACACGCATTACATGGACTTTTTCTTTGATTGTAGAATTCGATAATACCTGTAATTATGCTTATACCTACAACTATGTTATAACGAATACAAAAAAGTCCTTTTTTAAAACTTTTTCACATGTTAACATGTTGAGGCAATTTAAATTGTATGCCAGTGTCAGTTTAAAAAAAAAAAAAAAACAGAATAATACATATTATTAACTATATTATACATTGCTATTACCTTGTATAGTTATATATATATATTTATATATTTTAGTTCGAGAATTGTATTGCAGGTATAACAACTAACAAACCTATGTAGATAGATATTAAGT